GAGATGTACCCGTATCAATCAATACACTAGCAACCGAGTTACAAAACAGAAAAGTACCTCTCACTACTGATGGAGCCGGTACTAGGTCCAGCGCGGTAACAGCATACACGCGCCCTGTAGGCCCCAGATCCACCTGCTCACCTCTAGGAGCAAAGGACTGCTGCACTGATTGGGATGACGAAGCTCCCGGATTGGCCCTCGAGGCCTGCACAGATTGAGCTGGCTGAAATTCCTGCGTCTGTCTAGAACCAGACGCTCCTGAAGTAGCACTCAACTGCGGGCAATACCTCTTCAAGTGCCCAGGCTGACCACACTGATAGCAAGTCAAAGGCTGGCCCCTACCCTGACTCTGGCCCTGAGGTCTAGCTGAAGAAGAAGCAGCTCGCTGACCCGCTCCCTTCTGCGGGCAAACCGAAGACTTGTGACCCAGCTGGCCACACGCAAAACAAGTCAAGCCTCCCTGACTACCTCTCCCAGAGCCCGCGCTCGGCACTGGAAAGGTCGATCTAGCCACACCACCCTGAGACTGCTGAGGGTTAAAGCCCCTCTGTCTCCTGCCGTCACCCTAACCATCTTGGCTCCTCTTGGAGCCTCTTTGCCCCTAATCCTCCTCTTGCATCATGAGCTCCATATGAGCTGCAGCATCCACTAAATGTCTATACTCTCGGATGAAAGACCCACCAACCCTCAACTTGAGGCCCCGCCTCAACTTGCGCTCAAACTCATAGCAACGGCGTTCTTCGGATGCCACCAACTCAGGGGCAAACCTGGACAGACTAGTAAAAGTGGCCTCAAACTCTGCCACAGACATACCCTGCTAATTAAGTCGGCTAAACTAATCCCTCATCTTCTCCCTAGCCACTGCAGATAAGAATCTCTCCTGGAAAGCATTTACAAACGCCTCCCATGTACCACCAACACGAGCCTTCTCGTACTTCCACCATTGACACGCATCTCCCTTCAGCTGGAAGGATGCCAAGGTCACTTTCAGTGCCCCGTCCTCGATGCCAAGCATCTCGAACGTCTTACTCATTTGTTCCAACCACTCGTCAGCCTTAAGTGGCTCCTTTGGATCCCCAACAAACTCGTCCGGGTTAGACCGAAAGAATTTCCTCTTCAAGAAAGAAGGCCCTACCTCAGCTGCCTGATTCCCAGCTCTGAGAATACCTAAAGCTCCTGCTATCTCTCGTGCCAAGGCACTCATAGCCTGCTGACCCGCTGGCTTAGCCACATTGGCCTGACCAACTCCCTCCTGCACTGCCGGAACCTCCTCCGGTAAAGGCATCTCCTGCCTACCACGCCTGCCACGCGTACCACGCCCTCATCCTGACATCCTAATAAAGGTAACCAAGACTATTAGCACATTCACAAATGTGTCGAAGCTATAACACTCGCGTCCTAATGCGTGGACAACTGCAATTCACTCCACGTAAGCACATAAGCACATAAGCATTTACGAATTTCATTTCCGGATAATGATAGTCCCGAGGCGTTACTAGAGTTCCGGTTAGAAACAGCATTGATCAAGTGCTTTTCCAACAAGACTCCCAGAAACCCAAGGGTCCAATCAACATCCTAGAAACTACATTCCATACCCACATAGTCACATAAGCATGTTATCAATTAAGCACATCGCATATGACACTACATCTAAGTCTCTATCAAGCGAGACAAACCCATTATGATCCTAGTCATTTCCCACGTACCCAAAGTATTCGAACCCGGTTTGCTCTGATACCAAGTTGTAACGCCCTCGAAATAATACATAAAATCCATCATTTTAGACATGCATTGATATAAAAGAAACTGACCATTTCTATTCATCAGAGTAATTCCTTGCAAAAGTATTACATGTTAATCAACAAAAGCAAATGCCCTACGGGCTTACAGTTTTCCAAGTTAACACTTGGTTACAAAAGAAGAGTACTAACTCAGTACATATTAAGCCCTTGGCTTGAATTTACATGTAATACATCAAAATAAACAAAAGGAAGAGTCTTCAACTCTCATCATCATCCAAGTTATGTCCTTGGGGGTGGCATATTACCTGTACATGAAAATAATGTCCCACAAAGGGTGAGCCACAGCCCAGTAGAGATATGCTAAACACAGTATGAGCAATGACTAAGACATTAGCAATTGATAAATGTTCAATTTCCATAAACTGATTCATAACCCATTTCCATTCCATTCCACTTTCCATTACTTATCAATTTCACAATTTACATCAACGGCTCAGAACCTGGCCAACCACTTATACGAGACAATGACTCATATTAAACATTTCCCCTTGTACAATAGATAAACACATTGGTTATATCAACATCTCAACAGATACGCATACAAGCTACATCCACATTTCAACAGATATGCATATTAGCTATATCAACACTTCCAATGACAAGCATATGAGCTATGTCAACACTTCCATGGATAAGCATATGAGCTATATCAACACATTATCTGACAAGCATATGAGTTGTATCAGTGGAGTCCATCCCCTATCTCCTCCCACACAACATCCGGTTTAGAGGTCCATCCCCTATCTTCCCCTAAACCGTGGAGTACATCCCCTATCTCCTCCCACACACACAACATATATACACAAAGGTCATATACGCAATCCATCAATACATAACGTTAATGTATTCTACCAACCGTCAAACTCGGTGACATATCCAATTGATTAGTTTTAGTTTGCCTAATCATCATGCATTGTCTACAACAATCAAAACTACCCTCCACCGGTAGCCCAAGCAATTATTTCTAAACAAATAATAAAAGCTCCAACAGATAAAATATCGATGTTTTCAAAAGTGAGCGATTAAAGAATCTAACTACACTATTCAACCATATAATGAACTGATTTCATTATTTCCAACTCAATTCTATAAGTTTACAATTTTCACAAATTAATTATGCCAATTAATTTATACCACAAATTAGGGTTTTTTACCCCATTTCCCAATATTGACCCAATGGCCTAATATCAACAACCAACAACTATATCATCACTTTGAAATCCAAAATACAAGTTATGAGCCCAAAATCACAAAACCCTTTTTACACATTTTGAAACCCTAAGTCCCAAAATTTCCCAAGTTCAACACTATCAAAACAACTAGAAATCTAGGTCAAAGACCATCAGAGTGAGTAGGAATCCCTACCGCAAAAGATGACACCCAACAAAGAAGATGATGAAAAAGAACTTGCTCCAAACCACGAGTTTCTCAGATCAAAAGATAGCCCTCGACGATCAACAACTCTTTTGTAAAGGCCAAAGGTGAGAAAAACACCCTAGCTAGATCAATATCTAGAAAGAAGGCAAGGTTTTAGAGAGAAAGGCTCTCAAATGGCCTTTTCAGAAAAAGTAAGAGAGAGAAAGGATGAGAAAAAGTGATTTAAAACTGCCCCACAGTCAACTGATATACAACATTCCCGTTCGAGGGGAAAACACAGTGCTCAAGCGTCAAGGACAAAAACTAGGTCCGCTCGAGCGCTAAGACACAAGAAGAAAGCACATCTGCTCGAGCGCGAAAACCAGTCCGCTCGAGCGTAGATTTCCCCCTCCCAGAACCTACACCGAAAAGGTACTACCCGCTCGAGCGTCAGAATCCCCGCTCGAGCGCCACCGCTCGAGCGTAAAGAAACCCGCTCGAGCGTAAAAATCACACCTGCAGAAGTTTTGCAGGGACATGAAAAATTGGGAGTGTGCAATCCCCGCTCGAGCGCAAGAAGACCTGCTCGAGCGAACCGCCTAAAAACTGGGCAACAAGGAATTGAAACCAAGGCCTAACCAACCTGTAACAACCCCGCCCAAAACCTCCTAAAACTCAATCAAGCGGAATTAAAGGACGACAACAAGATAGATTCGACTACCAACTTCACAGAATCAAGTCCGGAACACAACATAATAGTAAAGGGACAATCGGGATCGCTATAGTTTACATTCTATTGGAATCTGAGTAAACATCTCAAAACTTTTTCTAAGAGTTTGTTCATTATTTATGCCGTATATAGATATGTGACCAGAGGAAATGGAAAAGAAAAATAAAGCAAAGTAAAATGAAATAAAATAAAGGAAAGAATTCCATTCTCTTCAATAAGCAAGTAAATTGTATTCAACTTATAATATATCTAATTATGTTATATGTAGTGTACTTACAGGCTGCCAAAAGCATTTCATCATGTACACGAATTGCACCAGAGATGACAAAACCCAAACTAAATCCAGGGAAAATATATGCATTATTTGCCTGAATGGATCACAAAAGAAAAAGAAAAAAGAAGAAAAAAGAAAAAAGAAAAAAGAAAAAGCCATCAAAATCAGTTTTTGGTATCCATCTCAGTTGTATTAAGGATATAACACCAAAAAACTAGAAGTACAAAGTAATAGAACCTGGCCAGGAACAAAGACTTTGCCGTTGTATTCCATAGGGTCAAATGGAATTCCACTGGCAAAAATTGCATGTCCCTTTTTTAGAACAAAGAAATTTATTAGTTTTGTATTTAAATCTGATTAGACATTACTTTGCATTAAAGCATCAAATTATAGGATAAGAAAAAATACATAATTTATATTTACCTAACTCCAGGTGTAAGCTTCTTCAGCTGTGCACTCAAATTACGAGGTTGGGTTGGAGAGAGCCATAATAATCTAGGGAAAATATATGCATTATTTGCCTGAATTGATCACTAAAAAACAAAAAAACAAAAGGTGCCATCAAAATCAGTTTTTAGTATCCATCTCAGATGTATTAAGTATATAACACCAAAAAACTAGAAGTATAAAGTAATAGAACCTGGCCAGGTAGATAGAGTTTGCCATTGTATTCGACAGGGTCAATTGGACTTCCACTGGCAAAAATTGCATGTCCCTCTTTTTAGAACAGAGAAATTTATTAGTTTTACATTTAAATCCAATCAGACATTACTTTGCATTAAAGCATCAAATTATAGGATAAGAAAAAATACATAATTTATATTTACCTGACTCCAGGTGTAAGCTTCTTCAGCTGTGCACTCAAATTGCGAGGTTGGGTTGGAGAGAGCCATAATGAGAGGTTTTTGCATGCCATTCATTTAAAGTCTTCAGAGGAAATTTTGTAGAGAGAGAGAGAGAGTACCTCATTGAAGGAGGCCATGGCCTCGATCACCTCTTTTGTGAATGTTCTTTCCACTCCAGATGAACCAATTAGAACTGTCGGCTTGATAGCCTGATGACATTTGAAAATGAAATAGAGTCCAACAATCACTGAGAACTATCTTCTTATAATAAAATATAGACACAAAGGGAATGCATCAAACCATGACAGCATCTAAAAGATCCTTAACGGGTTCATGTTCGGGAGCCCAAGGTTTCTTGAAGTGTTGAAGGGAATTCTTACATGAACTAACAATTAATCCCTGCAACAGAAATCACATGCTATGATTAATGTAAGACACAAGTGCTGAAAAAGGTCAAAATGGAAACAAAATAAAAATATGAAGTGTCGTGATCGACTAAATATCCATCATTTAGCAAGGAACCTTCACTAGACTTTTCACTACCTTTGAGTCCACAAGCCAGATCTTCTTATGCATCTCTTCCAAAGGAGCTTTGGTCTATAACAAATGAATAAAACAAGAGAATCACCAAGAAACTATGAGAATATATATTGTATATATGGCATGATTGTGTGAAAATATAATTCTTTGTATTTCTTTTTTTCTTTGTATTTCCTTTTTTAGTCCTAGGTTTAGGCTATATAAATCGATGACCTCTTTGTAAATAATACACAATTGAATATATGAATTCTTTTAGAATACTTACATAGTATCAGAGCCGTGTTTGTAACCCTAGCGCCGTCATCTTCCTCAGTTGTCTCTGATCAGTTTCTGTGCTTGTAAACCCTAGCACCTTCATCTACCTCAGCCGTCAGTCTGCGTGCTCACGAGCCCTAGTCGTTAGTCTGTGTGTTCATGAGCCCTAGTACGGTCATCTCCCTTAGCCCTTTCTGCTGAGGGCGCCTGAAAATGCTCCCATACTTCTGGCAAGCCTCACCAACAGTTGGAGTGTAGACAATCGGGAGAAGTTCCTCAACATTGTCAATGAGAAACTTGTAGAACAGCCTCTCATTTCTCTCCTGTAAACCAAAACAATTAAAAATACATAAACTAAAGAATTATACATTTTCCATTTTTTTTCATCCGTTTTGAACTCTTTTAAAGGCTACAATAAATGAAGTAATCTGTCATGCTTTTCTTGTCTCTAGTATCTCAAGTACACTGGCATTAGAATGAAGAATGAAGGGGTAAATGCTAATAATCCCAGATTCCATATTGTTATGTGAGTTGAAAATGAATTATTTATAACCAAGCAGCATCTACGCACGCCACATATGCACCGACTTCAAATCAACAAGTTGCAATTATTGTTGTGAGTTAAAGAGGCACCTGAAGGTCCATCATGGCCATGTACTTCTGAAGTGGAACTTGATGTTGGTGAATATTGTGCATCATTTTCTTCACCTGATATAGAGCCCCAAAAGGAAAAGTTCAACAGGAATCATATTAACTAGTGATAAGATAAAAAATACATATGGTACTTGAAGTTGTTGAGTTATAACCACGAGTGGTAAGAAACCAAGCAAGTAATGAGCATCTCTCTCTTTCTCTGTGAACACAAGCCCCTTGTT